TTGTCGCGCGGCTGTTATTTGTATTGCTTTTTATAGGTGCGAAACCCATTGTCGCGGCGCATAATATAAAATACATCCAACTAACCTAACCCATCACCGGTATGCTCAAACCGCGGAAGAATTTTCAGTGTCAGTACGGCTATCTTTATAATTACTCATAAAAACATGAGTAGAATAAGAAAAGCGGGAAAAATGGAATACATTCCTTCTGCTCCTCAGAAGAATTTACCTCAACAAAAAGTTTTCAGCAATCACAAATACATGCAATCAATAGTGGGTATGATTCTTTGTGTAACTAATTATTTTTGCGGTAATACTGTAGTTGATTGTAAATTACTGTCATAACTATGTAATTTATATTTGTGCTATAACAAATTCTACAGCCTTGGATTAGGCCTAAGAAGGATCTATGGAATATAAATATATCAAATTATATTCTATTCTGAGCATTCTAATGTTAGCAATACATACCATGATAATTGGCCGGCACTTTCTCATGATGCTCAGTTTACTGGATGAGTTGATGATGAAATGAATTTGCACACCGGTGGGAAAAGTCTTAATTTAATTGAAACAGTAGCACAGTTTCAACACTTAGTTCTCATATGTAATTTCACACGCTTCATATAACTGCGTCTAAACAATGGGACAACAGTGTTGCACATAAAAATGTATTCTAATTGTGACACTCGAAAACGTGCTGCACTATTTTATTAAAATTATGCTCAAAGAGTAAAACTATCTAATATAAAACGCTAGAATACGAAATTCAAACAAACAAACAAACAAACATTCAATGATGCGAACTAGCATCAAAAGTCACGCCCTCAGGTAACCGTGAGGTTAACTGCTGCTGAACATGCAGACGATCCATCGGGTACCAGATCCAGTCTCTTGATTGGTTAGTCCCTCCCTCCGCCGATTACGTCACCGCACACCTCTCTCAATCCGGTTTGGGTAATTCAGTTTAAAATGTATGATCAAATGGAGTAATAACAATAATTTCTCTTTTCAAACAACTGGGAAAAAAAAACTTGAAAAGGTGCAGTCCGTCGGAGTACACTGTGTTTCTACATTCGCCCTTTGCACACTGGCTTTTGGAATGCTCCTCAGTTGGTAAATCATAGGAGGATTTTAAAATGTCATCATTTTGTCTGCATCAAATATTTTAGTGTTTAAAAATTGATCGAAAATCGTAAAATAAAAACCTACAAGGTCTTACTTAAACGATGATCTAGTTTTCCTTTGCAAGATGAGAACTAAAATTCATCAGACATCTTTTTGATTTCGCGGAAGTAGCATAGGGGTGAATTCTATTTTATCCACCAGGTGGAAGCAGATACACATCCCAACAGTATTTCTGCACTGTGACTCTCTGAAGATCGTACTCTCTCGTGCAATCAAACCCAATAGTATTTACAAATGAAAAATGTATTAATACAGAGCCGCGGAAAGAAATTTGAGGTATAAAATACCAAAATAAGAAAAAGACAATGCATCTTCCACTGTTATAACAAGAGTGGAATGGTGTGATCTACTGATGCATAATCTCCAAATGCGTTCTTTACTGTTATGAGTACCATATTGCTCGTGTTGCATTTATTAAACAGACGAATCTCACTTATAGTTACAAGCTAATCTCAGTGCAGATGTTCATTTAATGCACTTAATGCAAGATCCAGCGTTAAAGAAAAGGAACCTCTGCGAATATTATGCTTAATTATCTTGAATGTTAGTTTGGTTACTTTGACATATAATTTGTCAATAAATCAATTAGACAATCGGTTAATTATTTCATTACTTTATTTAATTCCAGTCGAATAATATCCCACTCTTAGGCTACAAATCTGTTCACAGTAATCAGTCTGTTAAGAGGGCACTTTCTTTATCTGAAATACACCAGCATCGTATTTCGGGAGCTCTCTTCCGTTCTATTGGTTTCTGTGGTTTCGAAAGAGGCAGAAATATAATCCTTGAAGAGTGACAGACCACGGCGTGATGGCAGGTTAAGTTTTCACTGCAACGGTTAACCAATAATTTAACGCGGTTCCACTTAATGTATTCGTGAAAGGAATGATACAATTAGTCATGTAACTACTGAATAATTATCTGGAATGAAATCAAAGATATTATTTTGTTCGAGAGCCTGTTTTAAGCTGCGTATTGGTTTAATTTCTTGCAAAGATAAGGGACAAAGCGAAATATACATTTTAAGAGCTAAATGCTCAAAGTAAATTCATAAATGGGGTGAGATATTTAAATATTGAAAATAATTTAATTGATTTCGATCAGAAGTCTGGTTGTGCGGAAGAATAATATTATTACCCCCAAATATCACCACGGTGCTAATGTATCTTGATATTTTATTTTAATATAGCAAAATATTTATTTTATATACTGGAACATTCGCCACTGAGCTACAGACTTAAGCTAAATCATAATTTTCTTAGTATGTAGCAATGGTTCTTAACCCTCTTTGGCATACAGAGTTTATTGTTCAAAAATGAGGAGAGGTAAGTTTATTGTTTAATGTTAAGGGGTGACTGCCAAAGATATGAAGAACCACTGTCCTAGATACTTACGTGGTACGTAAAACCAGCATCTATTCGTAACAATGGTTTATATTCCAGTGTCTGCTTTGGTAAAGTGTCTTCATGCGTCATAGTCAGTTCATTTGTTCGCCTTCAGTTTCATGGATGTCTGGAATATTTTTTCTGATGTCAATACTTTATTTGTTATCCAGTCTTTAACATGTAGCAACTAATTGAGCAAGTGCGTAGTCCATAGAGTAAGATCCTTCTTAAAAACTTGACAGTTGCTTAGTTAACCATTTATGGAATTCGAAGGTTCATTACCGCGTCCACAACTCTCCTTAAAAAGACAGTATGTTACGGTAATTTACAGGTCTTAATATGTAGTGCAGGCCATAGGAACATAAATTGTGCTGCTTTCAATCTTTCATTGGTTCTTTTCTCACTAATCACCATATTTTGTAGTTACTTTTGCAGCCTAGAGAAGGCGTCTTCGGGTTTCGATTTGAAGACTCACTGTCACGCTAACAGCGAATTACTGTCCTTGTAAAACCAGTTTTTAATTAATAAGTAATGAACATATAATTTTAAAAGTAATTCTGAGGCCTTGAGACTAATAAAGCTAAGTTGTTGGGTATCCCAAAGCGTTTCTCTTTCAAGTTCGCTCTTGGCTAGCCGTCAATCTCTGCTGTGCCTAAATATCGGTATGTGACATATTCCAATAATGGTTCAATCACTCAGAGGCATCTCAGCTTTCGATCATCTTCAACAGCCGCGCAGACTGCGGTCTCTAACTCTGCTGAAAAGTTATACATAGTATATAATCTACATCTAAAATAAATTAAATAAATTACATTACTGATTATTCAGTGTCTATCATAAAATAATATATTTTTTTAAATTTCACGTACCCCTTAAGATGTCTTCGCGTACCCCAGGTTGAATACCACTGAATTAGAGCATTAGTCGGAGAACTGCAGCTCTCACATAATTTTGAAATTACCCTAATGCGAGCAGGGCAAACGTTTTCTGCTAGTAGAAAAACACTGGTACAAATATATACCATAAGAATATATGCAAGAGCAAACAATCGCAAACATTTTGCAGATTTAGGCCTGTAACGTTAAAATCGCTTTATTGCGTCAAGGTACACTGTTGCATTTTAAAGTAAAGTTTGTCCCACTATACGCCATGTAGGCGCTTGGGGGGGGGAGTGGAGGTATAGCTCCACTCTTTCTTGACCTCGGCACTAGATGGGGGTGAGTGGTCGGCATCACGCCCCGGCCGGCTTTACCCCCGGGAAAGGACCCCGGTACCCATTGTAGAGGAGGCTGGATGCATTGTTCAGACCTTATAAAATTTTTACAAAACAATAAAGAAGTTTTATAACATTAACAATGGCCTGAAATCAAAACTGTTTGGAAGCTAAGAAACAAGTCCTTACAATATACTCTTTAAGTTAAACAAATACAGTTTCACTTACTATTCACATTATTATTATTTTCCGCGGCTTTCGACAAAGATATGAATAGAAAATAAGGCCCGCGCTTATGAAAAGATTGCCATGAACACGACGCGTACCAAAGTATGAGAACTTCGTACGAAAATAAGGCCGGACTGGAGAATACAGAAAAGCTAAAATATGATCGCAGGATATCTTAAGAAGTTTTTAAAACGAATTGAAATTTAACCGACAGTTATAATAAGTAGTTTACGAATCTTTTCAATTTGCGAAATTAAAATTAAATTTAGCTTCTCCGAAAGCAATCTGAGAGCTGTAATAACTGTACATTATTAAACTCGGAAGAAAACTGTAATTTGAAGACGCTGAAAGTGGCTGCAAGAAGTTCAATGAAGGAGAAAGTCCTGGGAAAATAATTTGTTGTACTCTTACGATGGCAAACACGTGTAGTTGTCATGTAACAATGTGCCAGCTGCCTTTAATCTATCGTCGGAGACTGCGCAACTATCACACGCGTCAGTAAACATTCCACGCCCCGGGCACATAAGATAGCCTTCCTCAAATGCCTGTATCGTCACTTTTGGTTGCGTTACGAAAAAAGAAATTCAATAAACTCGTATCAGTTTCACTGTCTCCGTCCGACGGTCACTAAGAAGCAGCAACCTAACCTAACCTAACCGAATTAGATCAAACTAAGTATGGTAGATCTACACTAAATTTTGGCCTTTCGTTATAATTTGGCAAAACTTAAACGTCGTTTAGCTCATAGGCATAAATGAATAATTTATATTATCTTTTGAATACTTTTACAGACTCTGGCCAAAGTTTCTATATGAACTTAAGATAAATATAAAAATTGAGAAACCAGTTAAGGAAAATGTACAAAGATAACAGAGAAAGGGTAGATACAAATACAAAAGATTATGGGATGATAAAGAACACAAAAGATTTCGTAACAAAATGACACACTACACTGAAAACGTAGAAACATCAATAACATAGGAACATAAAAATTGCAAAAATATTTATTTTATCATACATTAGCAAAAGAAAGCTTCAATAGTTATTTAATGCATACCAAACTTCTTTACCATATTATATAAATGTTTTACATGTAAAACAGTGCCAGAATTATGTACAAACATATATGTTAAAACTATTACACACATAAGTTCCAAATCACTTCTGATACAGGATATGATTCTTTGTACAGCAATGTATCATTTTACAAAGAGCTACAGCATCACTTGCATAATACACATTTCAGTTACTTTTTTCATCTTCCAAAGCTAATATAGAAGTTCTGAAAATAAAAAAGAACAGAAGAATTACTGACTATAAATACATAACTTATCTCGGTAGATTTAGGAAAAAATAAACAAATGAAATATACACCTTAAGACACTTAGTGCTCGGTGTATTAAATCAAACAGTTATTGATATGATGCATTCTGGTTAATAGCTGATACAACTATAAAACTAAACAAATTCTGCACAATAAAATAAACATGCATATACAGTTTAACAAGATAAAATCGATAACCAAGCCGACAGGTAATATACTTGTAAATCTACAAGAAGCGAACAGAAAATTGAACAGAAGACCAAATTTCAGTAAGATTTTAAAACAAAACCCGAGTTAAGATTAATTAAATCTATTACGTTAATTTAAATAATAATTTTGTGGTAGAAAATAGTATCCGTGGCGTATTAGCCCTCTGAGAGCCAAAGCCGACTAGCTTGACTGCTGGCCTCACGTTCACATGCGTAAGCAGAGGTGAACGATCATCCAACCAGATACAGGGTGACGTGTGGTCAGCACGACAAACCCCCAGCCATTGCTAGTTTTCATGACCTGGGTAGAAAATTGTATAAAATTATAATTGATGGTGGCTGTGTGGCTCAAATACAAGTATTGATAAATACTGGACTACGAAAAAATAATTTTCATTAATTTCAATGTGTCAATAATGCAGTAACATTTCACAAAGTTTGACTGCTCTCTATGTATCTATTCTTTTGTTTTAGGGAAAAGGAAATTCAACAGTTTGAACATCTCAGGAAAAATCGCAATTGTTACTGACAGATTTTATGAAGTAATTTCATGTTAACTAACTGTTTGTTAAAAAGGGCAAAAATTTGTTTTTTAGTTTAATTTCACAGATTTAATTAAATACTTTGCAAAAGGCTATGAAAGAATTTCCAATATAAAAATGTATGAAAATTATCTATTCCTGACAGCAACACCACCGCGTACTGTTACATAAATATTTTGCTATATCACACCGGTACTTGCGAATCCAGCTCATCAACTTAATCAGGTCACATGAAGGGAAAAGTTTAGTACATCAAGAAATTAGAAGTACACTGATGTCCACAACAAGTATATAAACAATAATATACTGAAACAAAAAACATATTGTGTTCAACAACCAACAAAATTACAATTTCACTACTTTAAAAATTTAACACAGAAAAAAAAATAAACAGCAGCAAACAACTTTAGTTAAAAATGTCTGTTGATATTTACAAATCAAGTAAAGCAATCTTCAAGCACTATTTATATGCAGCACATTTTATAACAGTGTCAGAATTAACCCTTTCCACGCCGAGTTTAATTTATCAAAACCGTCTTCTTTTATTTACATAGACAGTATCCACGGTAACTCAGACCAAATATTTGTTGCTGAATGTCATTTACTTATAGTCGCAGTTAAAATAAATTCTTTTCTTCCACAGAAACAAATGTCACTATGGCATGCACTATCCCTTTTATATAAAATGCAGATGTCTCTCTAAATGAAAAATATAATTTGTAGTATGGAAAGAGTTAAAAAACAGCACCACTGACATTGTTTAGCATAGACTTACATGTACCAGACTTAGTATGAAAGCAGTGTAATACACAGCACCTTTACCTGAAGCAAACAGGTTTCAATTAGATACATTCACCGGGTTTAGGTATTAATCTTACTAAAAGTTTTTAAACTTATAAACAAATGTATGCCTAAAAAGAAAATAAACACAAGGAATCGACATAAAAAATAAAAATGGAGAACTGGAAACAACACGCAATAAAAATAATACCCACAATACAACTGCATCATCACATCGTTATATAACTCAATAGATTACGACATGCACGTGCAATATTGGAATAATTTTAATAAGCACAGTTCCTTTCTTTTTACTGAAACCCAAAATGTTAAAATATAAACAAATAATGTTTACTGATCCACCAATAGTATCAATTGATTGGTGTGAATTGTGCGTGTCAGACGGATTTCACGACTTGCCTCACGCAGTCCACGACGAATTCATTCCTTGTTTGTTCTGGTGATTCCAATTCACTAAGTGCCTTTTGTAGAATGGTTACTGCCTCTTCGGAGAATCGCTGGCCTTTCAAAGATGTCACGACTTGAGCTTGTCCAGAAAAACCATTTGCAGCCTTGAGTCCGGGAGGAACCATCAACATCACATCCTCAACCATTCCCTTATTCACATCTATGGTAATGCTAAGCTCTTCATTCCTTAACTCTTCCTTTCCAAGAAGTTCTTGTGGAACTTGGAAAGTACGAGTCACATTGAATTTTGGTGACTTTCCAAAGCGCCAATCCCAACTTGTTAATTCAGCACGCAGTTTGTCCAGACCTAACACCAAAAGAATGACGTATTCTTTGGACAACTATTCAGTTATTTATTTGTAAGTTATTAATGATGGTATTTAAACTAAGAATAAGAAAAACTCAACACAGTCTATTAATACACAGCAGATGGAAATGATGATATGTTAATGGCTGCTGAAAGTGAAACTTCAGGAAGCTGATCAAGCGGGTGTTCTTGGCGATACTGAAGGTGAGGCGGTGGGGGGGAATCTACTTGTCACCCTTGCAAAATGAGTGATACATAAGTAATTTTCAAGTCATCGATATAAACATGGTCATATATGTGTGTTCTTTCTTTGATGTAATATTAATATTTACAAATATAAAAGTATGATACAAACTAAATAAAATAAAAAACTGTAAAATGAAGCAAGAAGACTGACACTGTAATGTCATTAGAAAAAGATAATAGACTGCACTTACCAGGGAACCACTGATCTGTGGGATTAATAAACTGGAATCCCCTTTGTTTCATAATGAAGTCCTTCCCCCTGTCCTCTGCAGTGTATGGACAAGTGCGAAGATATTCCCATCCAATGGTGCTCAACAGTTTCTCAACCGTCACGTGACTATTCACGTCACACAGATTCATGACAGGAGATGGAATGCTCTGAGTAGCATTTGTTTTAATGCCCTTCTGAAAAAAGGAGGTTATGCAAACTTTTTTCGATTGATTCAGAAGCATTCCTTCATAAATTAATTCTCCAACAGCCTGTCACAAACTTCAGACTGCCTAATAACTTTTTTGTGCTCATCAGTTATATACCTGATTATTTTTTAAAACTTGATTCAAAGGTTATTTTATCCTGTCAAATCAACTATAGGCATTATGTGACAATGAATAAGAATTGATAAACAATGTCTGGAAAGTCAGGACAGGTTTGGAATAAGAGGTTGTGGCCTACTTTAAGGCACTATTTCAAGATGATCTGTTCCATGCATCCAGCATGCATACCACAAAATGCATTATGGACTTCCAAATGGTAATAAAAATAACAACTGATTATTACAGTCATGTTCTGGGCAGTCAGCCTCAAAATCATATTAATTTTATTCAACATCCTCATTCACACATAAATTCAAACAAAGGTCTGGCCTGCAATTAGGACAAATGACTTGGAAAAATGCATGTTTTACCTACTACTGCCTGGGGCATATGAACAAGGACATGTGTGATTTGTGCCAGCAATTCAAAACTGTAAGCACATGCCAAGAAACCAGAAGGCCTCAGTAATCAAAACAAACACCTTGAAGTTGCATAGCCAAGTATACTCAAAGCATATATGACTGCAACATAACGTATGTTAGCTATACTGTCGTTAGGTTCCTAAGTAAATTGGAACTATGAGTGAACAGAAGGAAATACAAAAGTGTATGACCACTCATTTAGAAGCTAATGTCACCCTGAAAACTTTGTGATCAGACTTACAGAAGATGTAAAATTATACAACAAAGTTAACCCTGAAATAACAGTAGCAAGCTTAGCCTTGCCTCAGCACCATCTTAACTGATGACATGGACATTTAATTTTGGTCATGACATTGGAAATATTGTTCACAAAGTTCATAAAAATCTCTACCAACTGTCTGCACAAAGGCTTCATACTGACTGTTTTATATGTTTCTTTAAAGATCAAAAGAGTAAACAATTTCCATAATTGATTTCATTGTTTTTATAGTAGGAACAGAAGAAAACTGAGAAGATATTCACTTCTGACAACTTCAAATTTAACAGAATAATCATGTTACAGAATCTGTAATAGTGCTGCAAGAAATCACTAGTTTGTGTTTAAATATAGAACATTAAAAGAGGTTGCAATTCCATTTTACAACCAATGATAATATTCTGATATTAATAACAAAAACAATATATGAAAGTTCTCATAACTTACATATGTAAATGGAAAATGCAATGAACATGTCTGCCAGTCAAAAGTGTCAAGGTCATAGTCTTTTGTTTGGCTGTGAAAATGGTTCGGCAAGTTGCCCCACAGCAGGTCAGTTTTTAACATATCAAGTCTCTCACACATATGCATAATTACCTGTTTCCACAGTTTGATTTAATGCTAACACAGCAAAAGAGTGAAAGCACTATTCATCATTTAGGCATACACGAAGCCTGTCACAATAACCAGTGTCCTATCCAAAATTTGAACTGTACTATGACATTCACTCATTTGAAAACTACTTTACACAGTGGTTAACAATGCAGCAAAATACAACCAGGTATGAAGATGGCTGTCTTCAGGGTTCTTGCACCATGTAGTTTGGTAGAAGTTCACAGATGTTTCAGAAGTGCTTACTGCCTCCATCAAGGCAATGAGCAGTCCTGATGATGGAGGCAGCAAGAACCTCTGAAATGTTAGTGAACTTCTATTGGACTAAACAGCACTACAATCCAGAAGACAACCATCTTCAAAATTTCCACCATGAGAACCTGAAATCTTACAACCAGATATGTCTGCAAATAATAAATTAAAATCCTAAGGATATGCTATAATAATACCACTAATACCCAAATAAGAAGCTGATAATAAAAATAATGGCCCTCTTCTAAGATATCCATATTTAAAACCTGCCATATGCTTGAAATACTATGAACCATAATACATCCTGTATACATTTCATTTCTAGTTATACCATGCCCTCTCAATCCTGTGGCTGGGGGCCACATGATAACACTATCATCATAACAGAATGACCAGCCTATGACCTTTTGTGAGTGAGAAAGGGAATAATATTGCCAAGAGAATTGCAAATGATGGCCAATGTCCATGTCTGTTTATGAAACATTCATAATTACAGCTCAATAAATACACATGTCTACTCACTCACAATAAGTGGAAAATGGTGAATGGCAACCAGAATATTATAATACACCCAATGTGTTTCATGTAAATTTTATATATTAACCTTTAACAAACATGTCACATGGCTTACACGTGCATCACATTAGCATAATGCTAAACAGTTAACCCTGAAGCTAACATCCGGCTGGCAGCCCCATACTAGGGCAATTTAAATGCCCTATTCCTGTATGATATTAAAATGGATTTTTAAAAACAACGTGTCAGTCTAGATTCATCTGACCCAAGACAGGATCGACTTGCAGACTATTGTGAACTGGTTAATAAATCTTTACAAAAAGCAGGGAATTTCAGGACCAGTCAAGAAATTTTTAGCTCCATAAAGAGTGTGCTCCCTGAAGTTTTTTACCCTTTCATACCATGTGAAGAATATTTTAAAATATATATCAGGAGACAGATTAACAGGAAGACCAATGTCAAAACAAGTCAGTTTGCAGAGGAAGGTAAAGTTGTCCCTGTGCTACCAAAACATGGGGCATATAGGGAGCATGAAGGTAACATTGCATGCACTTCAGAGTTATGTATGAGGCAGAACTAATCCACATCATGCCAGGGGAAAAACAGGAGGCTTAATGTTACCACTTTGCTCACAGAAAGTCACTTTACTATGCTAACATGCACCATCTTGTAGACAATCTCATGTTTAATTTATGGAAACACTCACATGATGCTTATGTAGAGCATGCTTCAATTTCTCCTTGTCAACACTGACCAGCAGAGTGCAGTGATGATATGCATTTGGTCGTCCCAATTTGGCAGCTGTTCCTGAAATCTGCTATCGAAATGTCAAGGAATCAATTATCATAAAAATGTCTTACAATTTAACAGCTTCACAGGAAAAATGAATACAATTTTACCTATATTTTTACTTTTAAAATATGTTGAAATAACCATTCCACCCAAAATTTGTTCTTTCTCCAGCACACTTTTAAAGAATTTACAAATTCCAACTTCTCTTCCAGAGGATTTCAAAGGTGTTTTTAAATTAATTCTCTGACCTTGGGGAGAAGGGAGGAGGCCAGCAAGAATATCAAAGACTACTAATAATACAATTTACTGTAACCCAAACTTCAGACAGTATGGTCAACCTTACTACCATAAGAATACTGATAAATATACAAACCAAATTTCATCAAAATACAACTACGTAAGATTTGAGGTTTTCACAGCGGTGAGTATGAAGATTTCCGTCTTCTGGGTTGTTGCGCTGTGTAGTCTGGTCAATGCTAACCAACGTTTCAGAGGTCATACTACCTCCATCATCAGTGTGATGAATATTCAAAATACAACTAGCATAAAATATAAACTTCATAACTTACAAACTACCACTCTTTGAGATATAATCATAATGGTGCATCATATACTTTTGTTGCCATGGTAAATAACATTACAAATTTAATGACATTTTAACTGAACAAATGGCACATGGAACTGGCTCGGGATTATGTATGACAACGGCCTTGGTGCTAGTGATGCTGAATCATTATTAGAGCCTCAAAGTGATTATACCAATGACTCTTTAAAGTTATGAAATAATTATTGTACTCTTATCACTACACGCAGAGTTAAAATTAATGTATTGAAGTAGTTGGTACAAAAGTCAGGCAAAACTCTTAAGACAAGAGGTGAAAATGCAACCAAGGTTCTGAAATGGCCTGAGGGATAGGGTGGGTCAGAGTATGGTATGTCAGATTTAGTAACTGTAAATAACATAAAAATTGAAAAATAAATGATTATCATATTGTAAAGTTCTTTGCTGCCTTTTCAAGCCTTAAACTGAACACCAATTACATAAATCAAGGAATTCTTATCTGAAATATACTTTGACTTCAAAGGGCATTTGGCCATCAGCCTGTCACAAAATGGCTCACTTCTAACTAAACACATAACAAAGTTCTTTGTACCTCTCAGAACATGCAAGAAAGCCAGAAAAATCAACACACAAAATCAAAAAGTCATATTACAGGTGCATCTGATGTTAAAAACTCCAATTTCATAATATAATTGTATTCATTGATACAGGGTTTTTACAAATACGCTATACATATTCAAAACCCTTATTTTCAATAATGTAGTTACACTGCAAAAGTTATATTTGTATCAATTTATACAGTGAATGACAATTTATTTCATAAAACTGAAAGTTGTCTAATTTGCAAGACATCGCTTGATGAGTTTCTAACAGACAAAAAATTATAGAAAGAAGGCATGGCCATGAAAGTCCTTAAATCTCTGAATAATATTTACTACTGTACAATTAGGTTGAAGATATGTCTATGTTATGCTCTTACCAACTAATCATCAAATACGTGAAAACACCAACAGCAACTGAATGAGAAATATTTCAAAAGTTTGGAACAAGTTACTATATTGCCTGGATGTGACCAGAGTATCATCTGTGAAGTAAAGAAATGTTTCTTAAAATTAGTATCTTCACAATGGTGCTAATTTATTTTCTGTAAAAGTATTTGTTTATTCAAAACTGATGATCAGAAGTATGTTCTACATTTGTAATAACCCTGAACCACATTTTGTGATTATATTGCCAGAAACCAATATATGCTAGAAAGTGTGACCTTTTAATTCCTCCTGTTTAGTGGAACATACAGACTACACAAGCTAAAATTCAACTGTAAATTTCAACCTGTAAAGAAATTCAGGTCAACATATTATGTGGAAAGGATACTTTGTAACCTCCACTGATGACAATATCTTCTCTTGGTGAAATTTCAGTTTTCAGACCCCATTCTCTTATTAAGGCTCTGTTTATAAGCTGCAGGTTATTTTTGCGATTGTAGTGCTCTCGTGGTGTAAAGAATGTAAGATTCAGGTTCCCATTATCATGATACACAGTCCCACCACCGCTGTTCCTTCGTGCTATTTCAATGCCATGTTCTGACAGAACAGATGTGTTTACCTCTAACCAAGGGTTCTGATGACGGCCAATTACTACAGCTGGTGAATTTCGCCACAAAAGTAAGATATGGTGGTTTATAAAATTAAAGTTCTTGTACAACCAGTCCTCGAGAGCTAGATTTGTGAAAATATCATTTGATTGGGATATGAAGACAGATTTTACAGCATCAGAGTTTTTGACTGCTCCTGAATCTTGCTGAGTTGAGGTCGAATAGGTAACAGCTTTCACGGAAGGCACGACATAAGGTTTGTTTCTGGCCGCACCAATTACAGAGATTCTGTACAGCTTTGTAACCAAATTTTGTGCCATTTTTTAAAGAAAGTATGATGTACTTATTAAAACTATCCAACTGTTAGTTCTTCAGAAAGTCTGCTCCAACAGTCTAATACTTTTATTTGGTGCCTCTAGTTTCCTTACAGTATAGATAATGAAGGCAGTTAAGAGTCTTCAGCAAGTAGGCTTGTATTAAATAACTATTGAATATTACGCATCAGAGTTTGAAATTAACAAGTAACCACATCTGTATCAGATGCTTCAAGAGATATAAGGTGATCGTGAAGATCTTGTGTCTGATGCAGCCACTTCCAGGTCTGGTGAAGTGAATAGATACGATACCTGATCCCTAAGCAATCACGACAATCTTTTCTCATCCCTTTGTGAGCCTTCAGATTGGCAAAGTAATTACGAAAAGTCCAGATTGATATGAGAAACTCGTTGTTCATATAATATGTCTACTCTTCATTGATACTAAAATCATTCAAATAAAGATTCATTAAAGTTCGTTTCGAAATACCACAAAAAATCAGCAAGCTTTATCCCACAACACTTCACGCACGAAACTGGAAATTTACGTGTTACTGGCTAATTATATAGGCCTGCCAGTGTTACATTACTTTTATTATAGATGGCAGGCTATCGCTGATAGGAGTTCATTTGAAGATAGCATAACTGGTAAGCGATCGCTACAAAATAAGGTCAAAATCCAGCTTCACAAATTTATTTACGGTCAACAGACTTTTCCCGAGAACAAGAACAACTCATAATGGCCCAACCGTCACACACGATAAATAAGGGGAACGAGTAATACCAACATACAGATCGGTAACTCCATATTAAACATTGGCAACCCAAGTGGCGTATGACGTTAGGCATGTATTGTACTGCCATCACAACGATAGCGAGCACGGCACCCAACGTCAGCGAGAACTGTATCGACGAAATCCAAGGATTGATGCTAGTAATGTTGGTATCATGTGTTACCTACGGGAAAATAAAAAGTAAACAAATTGTCCGTCTTGAGAAAGGCAAGGTTAAAATGGCCGTATCGTCAAAAGCTCCTGGTTTCTCCAGTAAATTATACAAATTATTTACTTCAGTTTTTAGGCATTATGTTGAATTGTGTTAGTTAGCGAAGGATATAAAATAACTGATACTAATTTTTGTATGTTCACAGTTGCATTGCGAAAATGGGCATATAATCTCTCAGGCTTCAATAAGTATGGTAAGTGGGAGTTTAATCAAGCCATGAGAATGTGTATGATATTTGTTTGGCACACTCCGATACTGACCCTGAATAATATTACACATTCCAGCATATTTAGTACAACGTAAACCACAACCTTCCACTAGCCTCTGACCCCTTGATGTAGAGACGGCAGTGTGGATAATTTTTAGAATTATTAAAGCTGATTTGAATACATGAAAATATACTTTTTGTAAGTTCAATAAATTAAATGAAGAGGAGTGATTCTTAGTTCTCTTTTTTTGTGGTTTTTAAATCTAACCTGACACATCACAGAGGCCCCACAGTTTGGCATTGTATTTGTAAGATATGTTTCTGCTAAGGCTTTGCAGAATGAAATTCTCATAACTGTTGAGCTTTTAGGATGATGACAGTAAGAGTTTGGATATTTCTTTTAACTCAAACATTAATGGCCATTTAATTTTAGTTGTAGGTAGATACCAGCATTTTGAAGAAACATACAGGTCATATGCCACATTAGAGAGTGTGTGAGGTTCTGATGGCTGTGGAATGTCCATATGGTCTTCTGTAATGCAATGTGGACTTGCAAGTATTTAAAAAATTCTAGTCCTTGACACTGGTTGGTGGTGGTGAGGAGTCAACTTTCACTCCAGCCATTTTATCCTTGGGGAGGAAGCCCTTGACATCAGTAGCAACCAAGGCTGACTTGCTTCAGACATGGTGTGAATTTCATGTCAATAGTAAAAGGAAAAATTCCCACTTGTGTGGAGAATTGAACCAGTTATCCATCTCATAGCCAGTCTTTTATTGTCTGTGATATCCTCAACTTACTAACATTCAATGCCCTGTTGTTTCATGTATGCTAGGCCTTCACCATGATGACTGTTATGATGAGGCTGATCCAGATGTAAAGGAAGCCCTGAGACGGCTGCCAGAACATTTAGTAGATGAACGCAATTTTCGGATTATTCGAGCCATGCAGTTGTCACTGCAGAAGATCATATTGCCCAAAGAAGAATGGGTAAAATTTGAGGAAGTGAGTATGGTTTTATTCCCCAAAATATTCATGATTGTCTGAATAAACAGTCATAAGAACATGGCAGGTAGGAAGTACAGTTGGATTTCAGTGATTTTTATATATAAGGTTTTTACAAGTGGCGATTTCATGGCCTTTAAGTGTTAACTTATTTACGAAAGGTAAAAATAAAACATTCCTGTGCTTTGCCATGGAGGCATGTGGAATTCCATACATATTTAACTTTTGCAGTAGCTAGAGGAGAGTAGTCTGCATTGCTTGTTTCATCCCCAGGGAAAAAGCACAAAATGCAATTGGATAGAAAACTGGATGGGCTTGACAGCTGGTCTGGATGTGGTGGTATAAAAAATCCTTGCCTCCACCAGGAATCTATCCGTAGTCACCCAGCTTTGTCATTTTAAATCAGTACTCAATACTGAGAATTTATTATTGAGCAGCCTCATTTCATTAAGACTTTTTGGAGGTAAAATATTCTTGAATGTTTAAATGAATATGTTTACAAATGTTTCAGGACAACAAATACTTACAGCCGTACATTGAAGAAGCAGCCAGGGAGCGACAAGAAAAAGAAGAATGGAATAAGAAATATTAGTAAAATCAGTGTATAGTTAACATCATTCTGTATAGAGATTCTTTAAAATTTGTACAAAATTGTTTAGCATTAAGAACAATGGTGATGTATCTGTCCATAAAAATAAATTATTGTTCCTAACTGTGATGCTGAACATTCACATTTTCTATCCTTGCCTGTGTGACCTAAAGGACCTTAATTTCTCAGACAAATCATGTAGGATAGGAGGAACAAAAATATAGTAAAACCTGCTTATAAGAATTCCAAAGGATCTGAACATTTTTCTGTTCCAGACACATTTCCATTTAACATCAGCATTTGTTGATACACCTCAAATTATGTTGCAGTGTTGCTGAGCAGTACATAGTTTCCAGTTTTTCTTTCACCAGCCCCCTCATCTCTTTTCCAGTTCTCCATTAAGTTGTTCTACACAGATTTTGTCAAAGGCTCACTTAATTGTGCCATCACTCAACAATTCAAACTATGCAGCTGGTAAAGTGTCATTGAATGAAGCAGGAATCAAAGAGAAAAAATACAGAAACATAGATGCTTTGCATTCTTTATCATTAATATGAATATCATAATACAATATCATATAAAATATTGTAAACTTGGCACCTCATTTGTTCTGTGAACGGACCTTCCATAAATGACAGCACAAAGTTGTGGATGCAACTCTTTCGGATACCTGAATTCAATTCTGGCTATGGAATGTCATTTATATTCCACTTCTCAAAGAAATATGCCTTGTACCAATACACAAACATTGTAAACATTGAACATTTCAAATTTGAAACAGTGTGAAACTTATTTTGCATTAAGAAGCTTCTGTCCAGGCTGCAAGTAAAATTAAAGTAATTTTTATTTTACATATACTCACAATAGTTACATTTAAAAGTAAGCACTTTCCATTTGGATCATCTGTAAATATTAATATTCTTAGTTCTTCCTTGATGAAAATACCCACTTCACATCGGAAAGTCCAGTAGGCCACAGTTCACAAAATATCACCAATAGACCCTACAGAGAGAAAGTTGAATCCAGTCCACATCTTCACAGCCCATTCCTTAAAATCCATTCTCCATCTCTGCAAGGTCTCCCAAGTGGTGTCGGGCCTTGAAATTTTCTGGCCAAAATTTTGTATGCATTTTTATTTCACAAATATATGTTGAAGTTCCACACATCTTGTCCTTAACTATCTTTAGCATTATCAGTTAAAGAGTACAAGTTATGAAGCTCTGGATAATGTAATTTTTTCCAGTCCTTTGCTGCTTTAGTTTCCTCAGCACTCTGTATGACTATACAAAATAATCATTGCAAGTACAAAGAATTTTCTGATATAGTATCAACATTACCAACAATAATCACAGCTTCAGTTATACACTAATCCTATATGAGAGTAAAGGTAAACCCATATTATGTTTAGATCAGGTTTCTCTCCCAAGCTGCCTCTGTACAAGGAAATTAAATGAAGCACGAAAAGGAACTTGAAACTGGCATAGAATTCATCTCCTACAAAAAGTGCATCATTTATGGAGAGTCTGAATGTTAAGATATTAAAGACAAAACACTTTTCCCTTTTAAAAATATACTAAAATAATTCTGCATACATTTAAATTGCTTGTTTAGTTCAATATTTGCATACACTTGCTCTAACAGAAACTGTACCTGAACACTATCATAGGCCAGTCTTAGAGCAAGTCCTACTTTTATTATTAGGAATAAAACAATGTGTTACATTACATCATCAGCTTGTTGATGAATTCATTAACAGTGTCCTGTTACTGCAGTCCCAAGATGTGATAAGAGTGTGCATTTATTGCTACAAATTATACAACAGGTTGGGCCAGGCCTGTAGCAGCCCATTCTAGTAAATCTTTTCATAGAAACCATGGGCAGCAAATCAAGTTTGAAATTTGGTCCTTTCAAGTCATCTGCTAGCATGGCATCCACATTAATGGAAAGGGTCAAATTTCAGACTTAAATATACCTAAATTTGATATTGTATTACCAGACCTTCATTAAGGATGTTAATTTGGTTTTCATACCCTGCAAACAGATGTTCTGCAAGTGTTCTTTTTACTTTGCATGTACATCTTTAACATGTCATATTTACTACAAATTATAACTACAACAGTAATCTTAGGAATTTGGAAGTTGATAAAAATAAATTCACTGTATAAATATTTTGCACATAATTTTTGGTTTTATGATTGATAAATGTTTTCAGTTACAGCTGTGTGTTAGTTTTTGGTCTATCCTTATAAAAACACATATATAAAAGCCACAGATCCATTTTGAAGATAAAATAAAAAAGTAAAATATTAAATATGATACACATACAACTTAAGAACTTGTCACATTGAGGGCTCATAATACATCACTAGAGTGTTTGCTTTGGTGGATTTTGTCTACAGAACTTGGCATCACAGAATCTCACAACTTGAAGAGCAAATGAGCAATAAACTTCGTGTAAAATTGGGCAAGACATTTTAACAAATTTACATGAACAGGGTAACCTACAGTAATAAAGTCGAGACCCGGGCTGCAGAATACAAATGGTCAAAGTGTTCCATGGATGCGGAACTGTCACCGGAGGATGACACATGCCAATGGCAGATTGTAATGATGAGACCATTGCCAATATCTGAAAGATTATCTGAGAGGACTCGTGAAGTTGACATAAACAGTTGATGTGTTATGTGGCACAAGCATTTCACTCTGCATGATAACATAACATTTCTCATGTGTGTGAGCACATCACACAAAAAATCTCTCATATATATATATATATATATAGCATGAAGAACAAGCCCTCTTTGGTTAGATCATGAGTCTTACGTCCAAGTGAGGCAAAATATAGAAAAGGAAAGGAAAAGACTGGATTAGAGAATCCACCAAAATTAAAGCATTAATGGGTGATGTGGTGACAACAGTTATCCCCAAAAGGGTCAAGATTTGCCCTTCAGAATTATGTTTTATGCCCAACCATTGCTTTAACTGTCTGCTTCATATAAGAGAGAACATAGTCAAATTAAAGGTCCCATGCCAGACTAAACACATCAATGTGTAGCATGAAAAACATTTTAATTAACTGGCCAAATCATATCAAGAAATGGTTAATTTAAATTGCAGAGTAAAGGGTTAAACAAAATAAAATCATAGACTTAATTATAATTCTATATACATTTTTGTACTTAATAATGAACCATTTGGTTTAAGTTGTGTTATACAGGTTTCTAATGTAATGAGTACAAATAAAAGTAGCATATATAAATACATATACACAGGAAGGAAGCATCATACATTTGTCTAACAGTCGTGTAATTCTAAATAATACCGATGTCTGATTTGTCTTTAATGGTTTATAAGAAAATATATCAAAGTATATAGTCATTGAAATAAAAAAAAAATCCAGAGTAAGAACCAACAGACACCCAAATGCATGACAAGCATTAATCCACAGAGTGAACATTCTCTGTAAGGAGATGACAAGAGATTCATAAATACAGCAACATCTACTGTCATCTTTTTGCCACAAATATATGAAGTTTACTTTTCATAATCATGACCTACATGAGCATTGCACCACACTTCAGTTGTGAAATAATTTAGTTTTAATCATGAATTATGTATTTTTAGGCCAACAAGTCTCCACCTTCCAAAGCCTTTACAATACAAATTATACTGAATCATCAGTATGTCCTAAATAGAACATTATCCAATATCACACAAGAAATTTTCTTTACAGTAATCTACTCAATGACCATAACTGCAGTAACCAAAATGAAGTCTCAGCCTCTGTGAAACAATTCTGAAGTAAAGGTAAATTTTACTTGTGTGTATGCACATCAGCATCATGACACATAAGACTAGGGGTGACACTCCACACCTTCTAGACCTCAGCTCTATATGGAAGTAAGTAGTCAGCTTCAGGCTCCAGTACTTTACCACACAGAAAGAGCAATCATTATTAATTTTATTGGAGGCTGGGTTGGGTCCCATATTTTGTTTGTGTGGTAGAAGAGGAAATGATCTCTCTCCCACCTGAAAACTAAATTTTTCAGAAAATTTGAAATGAAGAAACATGAAGACATATACACAGGTGGGATGACAATATCAAAATGGATCTCAAACAAACAAGGTGTGTGTGAATATGGACTGGAATCACCTGGCTCATAAGCGATCAGTGGCAGGCTGTTATGAACACGAAAGCAAGCCTGCCTTCAAGTTCCATAAAAGGCAGGGAATTTCATGACTAGGTGAACAACAATTAGCTTCATAAAAATGTCTTTGCTTCATGGAGTTAGTTGGTTACTGCAGCAAAATGGTGAACTTTAAATGTTAATTACACCTTCCTGCAGGATGAGTCTTATTAATTACAGACATGCCAACAGATGACATTTTAATTATCATTAACAAGTATTGAGATTTGAGCTTATACATACCTTACAATAGCATCATGCCAATTCAGAGGTCCTCATCACCAATACATTCAAAAGCATCATTCTCGACAAACGGATGTGGCGTTTGCTTACTAGAAGACTTCAAAGTCACACTCGAAAGCTTCTCCGATAATTTTCTCATAGATGATGTTGAGAATTCATTCTTGCTAGGAGATTTAACATCTCCATTCTATTGACGTGTTAAAGAGAAATCAATTATTATGATAACAGATAACACATAATTAACATTTCAACAGTTTCAGCAAAAATTCCATGTCTTACATTAACAAATTTAAGACAGAAACCACGTTACTGCTACATGGGAAATAACATAATTCTTACCGCTGAGCTGATATTTGAACAGATCGCATCACTGGATGCTGACTGGCTGACACTAATCAATTGACTACTGCCATCTCTCTTCATATAGGACCAACTTCCTTTCCTCACCTTATCACCAGGCTGTATGTAAAATCAAGATGGAAACAGGCAGTAAAGAAAATTATGTTAATACCTAACCCCATTTTTAAATACAGTTATCAAGGACTTTGTGTATGCAAAAATAACTGAATTTTTGTAAACTGTGATATTTGTGAAAACTGCCAGTGACATGACAGCTGCTGGGGTCAATGATCTTTGTGTGGGCAGGGTGTCTGGCTGAGTGATGACATCATCACCGAGCACTCACCATGTCACCAAGCCGATTGCTGGGGGATTCCTCATCCAGTCACTTCCATGCACAAAAATGCATGTAAATTATTTTCACAATCTCAATTAGAGAGATTATATTACTACCTTTACCACAATAGTTCTGAAGTTCACACTAACAAATTTGAAGCATGCATTCTCACAGTTATATTTATATAAACGTCTTTCATTTATGAATCAAATCCAAAATGTAATTAAAAGTATTGCTATGTAAATGGTGATATACAGGGTATACACAAAAGATTGGTGCAGTTTCAAAAGTTAATAAAAAATTTATTTCTCACCTTACACGGGCACTACATACACCGTCAGTGGCGGCAACTGTCCAGGTTTCTCATGCGTTAATTACAATCCTTCAATGTGTGCACCCTGGGTCACACGACACACATCCACACAGTAATCAAACTTATCCCATCCACCGCAGTGGGAAAACACGATTGAGAAGCACTTGTACATTCCTGTGAAAATGGGGGGGAGCTCCGTCCAGTTGTAGAATGTAATCGTCATAATTGGTATTCAGTTGGGGTAACAACCAGCTTTCCAACATGTCAAAAAATGAATCGCCAGTCACAGTTGCACCAATCTTTTGTGAATACTCTGTATATTATTTTGTCTGATCCTGAGACAATTTTTACATTCTTGATGTTTAACTGCCTATAATGATCATTATAAATATATATTTTTGAACACTATGAACTCTTGTTATAAAGATATCCTACGTTACCAGATTATCAACAAAACTGAAAAACGAACGCAAGAACACACCTGCTTTCTTTTCATGCCTGTTTTTTTGAGTAGAAGTTCATCCACCATTGCCTGGAGGCAAACTGACATCAAGATGGCTTGTTCACTGGCAATGGTAATCCACTGCAGTTTGTCTCTCGACATGAGGTACTCAAAAGACAGTTCCAGTTGAGGATTTGAACTGCTGCTACTTCCTCCTGTACTCATCTGACCATTCTGTAAGCAACAACAGGTCATCATCTCAGATCTGAGGTTCTCAGTGGTGGCATTTTGTAAAGGCTCTAGGACACTTGCACGGCTGTCTTTGTCAAATCACCTTTCACTGTTCTTCAAAACAGAGCAAGTGGAGTTAACTTGGTGATGTAGGTAACCATACTCTTGGAAATTATTCTCACTAAAAACATCAGACAGCAATGCCATGGAGACACAAC